CGAGGTCCTTTCCGGGCCGGTCTCGCGGGACGCTACAAGTCCACTTCTCTACTAAGCTGAAGATGAAGAGATAAAAGGGCTTAGTGAGGTGCGACACATGCATGTAAATAGTTCGATGGATTGAGAGAATGGTAATGGACTCGGAGATGTAAAGAGAGATCTATCGTAGGTCTTTAAATAATCTGTCAGATTGCCTTACACCTACCAATTATCATCCTTGAAAAGTTCGGGGTTTCAAGGAAAGAAGCTGGTTCTTTGGTCTGTCCTGTGAAAATTGCTGCCTTACATCCTCAATCACCTATTTCTTTTCGACTGATGATAGGATGATACGAAGCTGCTAACGTATTGTCGACAGCTGGAACAATCCTCCTACTCACCATCTGCAAGATCGATTCCTTCCACAAGCAAACATCCTCCTCGCTTTCGACCTTACTTCCTTTTGGGGCCTTCTTCTTGGCCTTTTTTAGACAATACATAGCCCTAATCATCTTCTATCTTCACTGCTGGTTGAGATTCGGACTCGAGCCCTGTTATGGGATCTACATAAGCTTTTGGCTTAGACTCGGTCGCAACCTCTGCCAGGACGTCCGCCCAGCCTTAAACTAAGAGACGGCTAGTTTGCCGCCGTTTTTGGCAGCTTCTGCCGCCGGATCCAGCGGGCCATCTGCCACGAACCAGTCGCCGCTCTAAACTCAGGCATCACGCCCGCCAAGCAACTGTCACCCTTTCCCGTCCCAGACGTGTACCCCAGAGTGCCATGGTATCTCAGCCACACTACCGTCCTGAACAGTTCATGCGGCTACGGCCAGTTTCTCGAGTTTTGATTTCCCAGTCATTCTTTGCGTATCGGTTCCCAACAGCCAAACGAGGCCGCCAGAATGGGCCCTGCCATGGCTCGCCTTCTTGCACCATATAATCTACGGGCGCTGCACTGCGAAGTGAGCCGATTCCTCGATCCATCCGCTCTCAAAGCCAGAACATCACGACTTGTTCGATCATTCTATCCCGACCGCCGCTTTACTTCCCACCATGCCGAAGCGCCGACGTACGAACGTGCACACTTACGATTTCGATGCATCATTCACTGCCGAAGTTGAAAGCGACGACTATGACGACGACATCTTCGATACGAAGGAGCAGAAAGGTGGCTCGGGCACCGACGCAACCGATATCGACGATCTCTGCGATGACGATTTGGATGTGGAAGACCAAATCAGGCCCTTTGATGGCAATATTCAGTCAACATAGTATTGGCGACGCAAGGTCGAGGCGTTCAACGAGGACCCATGCGCCTGCCAGGATTACAGCCCTGGGACAACGGTGCTTCTCGATGCCATGGAGGAGCAGTGGCGACAGTATGTGCTCGCAAAAGAAACGCGGAATCAAGAAGAAGAGCTCTTTGGGCACATACTGGAAGGTCTGTCGACTCGTCTTCGAGAGAGCCCTGGGTGAAAAGACCAACCAGAAGCTGAACCGTAGCATGCACAGAGCAGGTTTCTTCCACAGCGACACCAGCGCTCCTGCTGACTGCTCCAGGTTCTTCGAGATTTAGGGAGGGAACAGTGTTTGATCGAGCAGCGGCGAGCTAATCGTTGTATGACGATCGACGATCTCAAGCAGCGGGTCGAGACGATGCTGAACACGACAAAGAAGTCGTTAAAGCTTGGAGAGCTGCGCATCCTCGCCGTGCTCTTTGTCCTTCTGCTTGCTCCGGCCGGTTCTCGCCCAGAAGGCGGACCACACAAACTTCCCTTCGCTTTACTCCGGAGTTCACCAAAAGCTATCTTGGTGAGCAGGAACAGTAAGTCGATCCAGTCTGCTGCAAGTAAACCATCCTTACATTATAGGAAAACATACTCCATCCCCGAGACGATGTTCAACCCGTTCCTGCTCCTAAGCCCCCATGTATTCCTCCTAGACGCCCTCTTCCGACATCGAGCTTTCAATGCATCCAGCCTCACCTCGCCGCACCATCTTGATAACCTCGATATACATCCTGGCGAGCGGGAGCTGCCCTTACCATCAAGGGAGGACCTGAATGATATCTTCACATTTCGTCGGGCCATCGAGACATTTACGGGCTATCAAATTTTCACCAACGATTGTCTTACCTCTGGGATGATGGCGGCGTGGATTCAGAGAATCGGCGAAATACTTGGGTTCGAGTACCCTACGATAGCGTATAACCTACGTTATAATGCTGCCAACGCGTTCGATCAAAGCGGTTTGTCTTCTTGATAGCTTAGTAGCCAGTCATACAGACTCGCAACGCAGTCGAGGTCAGCGAAGCTCTCAGGAATCTCGCTCTAGGACATGGCAACTCCGATCCTTTCCAGAGACACTTCCTCGGACGTAACATTTCGGCCGACCTTTGGGGCGTCCTCTGGGGGCATAAGCCACCACAGGCGCTCATGAAGCAGTCTTGCAGCATAGGCCACTCCATCTCCGAGCGTCGCCCTATCGGCCTCACATTAGCGCAGTCTGCATCGGTCGCCACCCATCCGACTCTTAGAGAGCTGACTAAAGCTCTTCGAGAACTGCCGCAAGGCTCCAAACAGTAGAACAAAGTCAAGCGAGCGAGGCGGAACGAAAAGCAGAGGCTTCGGAGAGAACTCAAACAGAAAATCAGAGACGAGTGGACTGACAAGCAAGCCACAAAAGACATCGAGCGTCAGATGCATGGCATCGGATTTGCCAACCCTGCGACGGGTGACGCCTGTCGACCTCAGGTCCAGCACAAAGGCGCCTGATCGAGAAGCTCACCACCCCGATCGTGACCACGCTCGAAGGTCAATACCGACGGAGGGATGAAGCCATCGAGGCTGTTTCCGCATACTGTCTTGTCCAGGAAGGATGTACTTTGCCCCTGTCTCGCCCTCGGTCGACACCAAAGGCCGCAGTCTGTTACTCTTCTTCTGATCCGCTTGAGGGCGGCCAGTTGGACTTCGCCACACGATCTATTTTCATCACTAACGATAAGGAGCGGAGCAAGAGATTTTTGGTCTGTTTTGGACAGGCCTTGGATTTACCTCCGGATGACGAGGGTCAGTTGGACGAACTCACCCATGAGTTCTACACATCTAATGACTTGACCAAACACTTCCGAAAGAAGCATTTGTCCAAGGTTGCGGATGGTGATAGACCTGAGTACAAGGTTTGCAGAATGACGCTCGATCACAAGATGCACCTCCAAAAAACCACGCCATGAGGATATACGGCACGGTGTCTTGATCACCCATGATGCGAGGCACAAGGTTCTGGAGGGCAAACCGAAGGTGTGGTGGTTTCCAATCGTGCGTACTTCAGGTTTTAAAATTCGATGCTGCGAAACTACTTCCGATTGCTTGCCCTATTTCGCCTCTTCAAATGAAAGCATGCCGATTGACGGGACTTACATATAAGGGTTCTTCTGAGGGTTGTAGTACGCGCGTACCAAGTGGAGAGGAGCATGTGCACATTAGCCCGATTGCTAAGCAGAGGTTTGTAAATAGATCCATTCAGCTTCTCGGTCTGTGGGTTGATAGGTAGAATTTCCACTGGATTTGGACTACATGACAGACATGTATCTCACAACCATGAAATGAATGACATACTTCCCGTGGGCATCTGGACGTGGGTAATGCAACAGGTTCAACCATGACCTGACCTAACAACGACCATGTCAAAACCCCGAATGCAGCCCATGTGCGCCCCTTGAGCTACCGCCTCTTCCTCAGACCGACGTCACTGGAGACCGCCCGCCAAACTCAAAAAGATCAATACCTCAAAATCACTGAGGGATGGAAAGTGAGAGGAGAACCAGGGCTACCACACATAATAACCCAATTGTGCATTGCATATAAAGGCTCGCATTTGGAGTCTAGGTCTAAACTGTACCAGTGTCTTCTCGTACTTCTTATCAGTTAACGCCAGCTGAACTACCTTATTAAGCGAATCCCAGCTCAAGGGAGTACGCTGCAAAAGTCAATCGTCGTCTCCGCCTGTGTAGGGAGAAATGGCGTTGTCATGTATTTGCACACGAGGGGTTGATGTTTGGTCGCCTCTGGCCAAATCCCACGCCTCGTGGTCAGTCGTAAACGATACACCAACAGCGCGCAGGCCCTTCATAGCGTCGCTGTCGCAAGTCGATTTGGCAATCCAGACGACAACACTCACTCAGTAATGGCGGTGGCCCTCTTCATCTCCCTTGCCCCAGCGAACCTTCGGGAAGTAGTAGCTGTACATTATGCCTCAATGGCCGTTGCTGATGCCTCGTTGAATATAAACCTGGGCTTTACCGCCGGCATCGCAGCCGCTTCTTCCGCCTCCGGTAGGCCGTAATCCAGCACCACCGGATAACTTTAGCAAACATGCCATTCTCAAGATTTGCTTCAAACTCACCCAAGAGATCCACCACAATTGACATCCGGATAAGGATCGCAGCCTCCCAAAACAAACAGTAGAGGGTTGTATTGAGACTCGAGCTGTACTGCGAATCCAGAGGATGTCATCTGAGGGAGCGCGCTGACTGCATCATGGTCGATTGTGGGATGGCCTCCACAATCATCCCTGCCGCGCGGTGGTACGGATGTAAGAACAGCGCGTGCGAGGAATTCGACGCAAAGAAGTATGGCCAAAACCACTTTCTTCTGCTTTCTTGACAGCAAGTGGGAAAACTTCCGAGGCTGTGGCGATACTGAACATGTCCCGAGGCAGATTGGCGGACTGGAAACATGATACAAGTTAGCCCCGTTCCTCTTGTTTTTTCCTCTTTCATTCTTCTCAAAGGGGAAGCAGCCGCTCATTCCGATCGCCCCTCGAATATGTGGAGAATCTAAAGTCTAAGACATTGGGAAGTGTGCAACTTTCTCATGCCCGCAAAGTATAGTACACGTTTAATTTGCAAAACCCAACACATCTGGCAATTGCAACCGTCTCTCATCAGTTGGTTTCATCATTCCCAGGCTTTCAACGGACAAGGCGAAGAAAGGTTGACAACCGCTTAGAGTCATTTGACAAGGGCGCTGCTTGTGGGAAATGGCCGGAAGTAAATACGTGTCTGGGCGCCATCTGGACCCACCTCCTGGCAAGGGGCATAACGTGATGGTTAATATAGCTCGGGAATTACCGTGTTATTAGTTTACTGGGCTGAAAAGCAAAAAACTTGACTTCAGGCCCAAACTCAAGGATACTTCATTAGATGAAGAAATGATTGTCCTCACAAAATATCGTAAGGTTCTGGTTCTTGATTTGAGGCGGGGTCAAAGGTTTGATTATTAAGGGAGACAACTACCCGTACCACCATTGTGGAATCCGTCCTGTTTAGATCGCAGGATAACCTCATCTGCAAGGCAGTCTTCGATTTACCATCACAAAATGTGGCTCTCCAACATTATTTTACTCTTGACGCTGGGCTCCCATGCTGCTTTGGCCAGGATAGTCATCGGATATCGAACAGTCTCGGGAGTAAGCTTCCTAAAGTGGCGGTTTTCTATAGTAGTCTCTAGTGGCGGAAAAAGAATATATATTGTAATATTAACGTGCTTTAAGACGCGGAGGTACATAGGTAGTCGACATGCCTTCCTTATTATTAAATACGGGGTGATGTTTTTTTGGCTTAAAATATTTTTTTATAAATACGTATTTAAATAAAGTTCGAATTAGAACTTAAATTTTTAATATATAAAAAGAATTTTTTAAAACTTTTATATAAAATTTTGTATTTTTATAAAGTTTAATACTTATATAAATAAATAAATAAATTTAAACTATATTTAATAACTATTTAGCTTTGTTTATACATAAATAATATATATAATTACGTGTGATAATTATTAAATTATTTATAGAAGACTTTTCATCCTAGTTTATTAGTTAGATTCATTATTAATATAATTAATTTTTTTATTACCTTTTCATTAATCTTTTTATTAACTTTTTTACTCACTTTTACCTCTTACCTACCTTAAGACCTCTTATTATCTATATTTTAAAAAGCTATATTTATAATTCTTAATTTATTTTAAAAAGTTTAAGTTATTTATAAATATTTACTATACGTTTTTATTTATTATAATTATAATATTTAAACTCCTTTTTAATAACTTTTTATTGGTTATAAAAAGTTTCTGAAGTGCGCTATATTATATATAAATAATAGTTTAATAAATAGCGAAGCGATTTTACTTACAGATTAGTAGTCAGCCTTCGACGTTAGTACCGTCGGTTAATTCTTTGAAGGCTTTGCCTACAGTTGGCTTATAGAAAGAATCGGACGCAAAAGCTCCCTCCTAATCGGCATCTTCATTTGCAATGGCCATTTCTTCCTACTCATCTCTAGGACACCAGACGTGTCTATGACGGCTCGGCTACAAGGGCCTGTCGGCTGCTCTTCTGTTCCCTGCTAGATAGGTAGACTTAGGTTTGCATTCAAGAAGACCCACCTGATCTTCTACGCAGACCACGGCGTTGAGTTTAATTTCTCGGCGAAGGCTGATCATACTCCGCAATGTAGAAAATCAAGTCATCTGGCTGGATTCCCTCCGAGTCCTCCAGACTCGAAACATACGCCCCCGTGACGTCCTTGCCCTCCATGCTCGTCCACTCCCAGCACATCTTGTGAATATGCCAGTAGAACGGGTTGTCGGTAATCTCTCCCCAACCGATGTCGCCCATGTCGATCTGGAAGCTCGTCTTGGGACCGACGCCGCGCATATTCCTGGCCTGCGCGATCGAGTTCATCGCCCTGTACTCCATGACGTCGACGAACTGGACAGAGTCGAGGTCAGACAGCCGCTTTTCTGCGCGGCCCCAGACACGGACGATGATGTCGCGCAGGGAGACGCCGCCCTCGTCAAAGCCGTTGGCGACAAAGTCGACTTTGATGCGGTTGCCGTCGATGCGGAACTCGTTGACAATGTAGCCGCCAGACGAGACTGTCCACTTGTTGCCGCTGTGGGAGACGCTGTAGCCGGCGTCGTCAAGCTCGTCGCAATGGCCGAGGCACAGAAGGCCGCAGAGGACTGCAAGGCAGTAGCAGAGGATGGATTGCATGTCTGGATGTGGTGAAGATGGGCGGTCAAAGGAGAGTGAAAGTAGAGAACAGTCTGAGCAGATGCTTGTCGGAAAACTTGAAGATGCGCGAAACTTGGACCGGAAGTTGATTCATTGCCAGGTACTTAAGTATTACTTGCAAGACTCGAGACCCAATTTCTATCAAACTCGAGTATGACTTAGAATGAGAATATCCTCATCTTTGTCACTTACAAGGGTCTCAATCAGTTCGTTCAGTCTGATCCAAACCCCGAAATACGAATGGAGCATATGGGAAGTTATGGCATAGAGAATAGCCTCGAAAAGTCAAATAAAATGCCTGTGATTCGGTCTCTCCGTCCACGAAACCGAAGATTCAGGCGTTCAAACATCACGTGTAGACTTTTGCCCAAAGGTCTGTGGAGCCTCTCAGCCGAGAACCCCGGCAGTCATTCCATGCTGACTTCTCCCAACGATGTTGACTTCGTAGCGTATAATGCGCTGTCAAATGTCAACTAGCGCACGGAGGTGCCGTCCATGGCCACCAAGGTTGCTCCATGCATGGAGCTCACTGGAAGCTTTATTATACTTCCGGGCAGGACGAACGCCCGTGTGCAAGATCACCAATTAGACCGAGCTGAGTACAACTGGGGCTGCTACGACTACGAGGAATGGCTGCGCACTAGAATGAACTTTTTCGATCATACGATAGGAACAGCCGTGTAATTAACTAGAACCTTTCAACTTCTGGGCGCAATGTCCCACCCATGGCGGGATACAATTCTCGCGAAATTTCGTTAGTCCCCATCCGCCGTCGTAAGCTCCATACAATCAGACTAGAATACTCGGCCGTGACAGCAATGGCGCAGAGCCTCATTCATACGTCTATTCGTCATGGGCCTATGATGATTCTCTTTATATAAGTAGTCACACGCGGGAATTTTTGATCAAGACAGAGACAGTATGCTGTATTCACTCCTTCTTCTCTATCCGATCTACGACGACCTTAAGTGTTTCATCAGTCATCAGAGTCACATTACTTACAATAACTCAACTCATCATGCGATCCTTCCCTACTGTACTTCTCTTCATCGCCGCCCTGGCTGGCCTTTCTGTCGCTCAAAGTTGCAATGACCAATGCGCAGACGTCTTCGCCTTAGCCAGCTCGGAATGCCCGCACCTCGCCAACACCAAAGAGGATGCCGACGCCCTCGACGGTCCCAAGATGAGCTGGAAGAACAATATATGGTCCACACGCGGCAAGGATGGTGCCGTGGTTGAGATCGACCCCAAAGCTTGCACTCTTAGAACATTTGGCGGTCGTGACGACTTCTGTGGCATCTGGATTGGTGGCAAGGAGATCCGGGGAAAGGAGAATGTTGAGGTTAAGCAGCCAAATGCGCTGTTGCAGATTCCTCATAACGGTGGCTGCTGCAAGATCGACGAGGAATTCTGCACGGATGGTGCGATTGAATGGGCGCAGCTGTCGAGGGTCAAGAAGGGCCCTGATGCATCGTAGGCATTGGATGCCAAATGGTGGAGGGGTTTCTCGACCGAAGATAGGAATCTTCGTGCATGTTGATTATGGGTTCTTTTGCATAACCTACTGTTAATTATGCCTTGAAACTCCACGTATTTACAAATGATTATTGCTTAAGGTAATTACTTTCCTAGCAAATTTTTAGCATCCCGATTATCACAACTAGTTAAATATCCTGTTATTTTAATTAATATATTGAAGTAGTCCGCTTGCCGAATTTTCTCTTCTTCGTAACTGTGTATCAAATCTTTGGCTGAAATGGAGTCTTTATGTCCTTACCGAGAAAGTAGTCGACTTTGTGAGATTGCATATACTCCTTCAGAATTATTGTATTGCGGTACGAAGGATTATAGCTAGAGAATAAAAGCGGATATTACTTAGCTTTTCTATCGTGAAGACAAGCAACTCATCGATAGCTTTGTTTATAACGATGACCTCTTTTCTAATTACTACGGATAATATTAATTAAAACTAAAAATTTACCAATAGTTACCCCACTAAAATTGTTAATTTTTAAAATATAAAAAAGATTATTATATAAATTAAGTTTTTTTTAGTCTTTTTTTAATTTTTTTATTTTTAAATAGTTAAAGAAGTTAGGTTTTATTTAATTAAAAGCTTAAGTAAAGTTATCAATTAAGACCAAAAGGGTTAGGTTTAAAAAAAAAAGAAAAATTAATTTATAAAAATCAAAAAGAAAAACTAAAAATTAAAAAACAATTTAAATTTTTATATAATTTAAAATAATATTAATAAAATATTTAATTATATATATAAAGTCAATATTAAATTACATTGACTTAAATTTTTAAAGTTATAACTATATCAAATTAATAATAAAAAAAAAAACTATAGCCTATGTTAGCGGCCTAAGGTTTTAATTCCTTCTGATCGATATTAGCGATTAAAAGACCTGTAGCCTACCTTAGCGCTTAGAAACCTTTATTTACTTAATTTTAATAATATCCCTTATTTTAATCCCTTTTATAAAGTGTTACGACCCAACACGCATTGCCAGACCAGGGCCCTGTGTTACGACCCAACATGCATAACGGGACCAGGGTCTCGCCCCGCAGGCCTGCGGCGGCTACCACACCATATATGGCATGGGACACGGGAACACATGTGTCACCCTCACGGAACGGAAGAACTATGGACAAGTCATGTGACGATAAGATAAGGAACTCCGTATGCTTGGCATACGGAGTCCGCCTTCCAACTGAACGGATCCCGCATCCTGGGAACACGGGAACCGTTGGGTGAACATACGGACAAAGGACATGTTCACGATCAGGACTTGTATATAGAATGGCCACGAGCTGGGCTCGAGGACAGACTCCCATAGCTTCTTCAGCAATCAACTTCGTATCAGATCTCACGATCACTTTCAGCTATCTTCACTGAGAACTTACTTGACAAGACTACGACCGATCACCGAAGCCTTACCCACCTCACGACTTACAGACAATAGCTTTCCTGAAGCTATTCCCACGACGACTACTGTTTACGAGTATCGCAGCCCCGACTTCTGTTAACACAAACCCTCACTACGACTAGCTGGCCGTAACACTTAATTATAATAAATCTTTTTAGCAGTATATATATTATATTTAAACTAAATATAAAAACTATTAGAAAAATTAAACTTTACCTAGTAATATACTAATTTTTAAATATTTTTTTTTTAAAAAAAGGTAATTAATATATTTAATATAACAATCGAGGTAATTTATATACTATAGTCATAATAAGAACACGCCCCCTCCTGCGAAGCCACGTGTTATGGGCGGTCAGGGCAACCAACTGTGGCACAAAGCAAAAGCTTCAGTAATGATGACTCCGGCATCATTATCCCCTGTTCTGCTCTATATAGTTACGTTGGCCAGCACCCAACTGTTTGGGCCGTAACACCACGCCGTCAAGGACGTTAAGGAGTCCAGATAATGAAAGAGTCCCGCGTAACTGTAATAAGCTTCGTGATATTTCAAATCCCGACTCAGACTCATCGGCATCGATTCCACGTGATCGTGTTGTGCCTACTACCTCAACATCCTCGAGCAGGACGACACAGCGTTGGGAAGCTCAACGAACAAGGCACTAAGTCGCCCGTTGCTGATACCGGCAAGGCTGAGGACGTAAATATCCAGCCTGAAACACCCGGCAATGGACATGCTAAGGCTAGACTTTCCAGTTCCAGGGCAACCATACAACAGGTAACCTTTTCGGTATGGTATCCCCCGATTGGCGTACCATGATCGTGCGTTGGGATCGAGAAAGGAGCGAATACCCCCGAGGAGCACCTGTTATCTGTTTTAACTCCTCTTTCTTGCTCGTTGAAGCGGCGGGACACGTTGGTAATCCCTTGCAAGCATCTTTGCTCTATTCTATAGGTAGTTTCCATAGTCCGGGATCCATTACAATAAGACGAGCAGGCGTATGCTGGAAGTCTGCCACTAAGTGTGTCGGCTGAAGCATGAGTAATTAACTGACTCGATCTCCAGCGATGATTTGGAGGTGCTGGGCTTCCGACCCGTTTCTCAGGCTTCGTAGAAATTCCAAATCAGGGGAGGCAAAGCTTAAATAAATGAGCAAGGTGAGTTAATGACACACCACTTTTGACGTTCTGATTCAGCTGGGCCCAGACTGGCTGTTTCCAAGCAACCTAACTGGGACAAGGATGACGTCGGCTTCGGCTGGACGCCACGTGAACTTTATTTGTACGACGCTTGTTCTCCTGCGGGCCAACCTATTCCTTGGGTATGCTTTCGCAACATCGACAGCGGCACCCGCCGGAAACAGGTCAAGTCAAACCCATTTTTTCGGCCTTCTGCAACTGTGGCTGTGACGCCACCACTAAAAATTCAACAAAGCGACGAAAAGTAAACGATGCGAGGAGGATCTTTCTACCCAATTCCACACCCGCCCGTTTTCTACTTCAGAATTTCTGCCGACCCAGCAATATAGCTCTTTCTGCGCGTCAATAATCCTTGTCGCACCATTTTAAGCTGGCGTTTGATGAACTAGACTCTGACTACGTCTGCGCCTATCCCTCGAATGGAATATTGGGGGGGGGGGGGGATTAAATCCCCACATCGCGTATCTTACCTTGTTTCGGCACAACTGGCCCGACCTGCAGTGCAAAGAAGAGCATGAATGTGGTACCTGGTGCCGTTACTCGCTCGCAGGCCTGCTACGATACCCAGTAATCAGCCATTTGATAATGATATAGCCAAGCTTTCTCTATCTCTCACACTCTGCCATCAAGACGTTTCTCTCACCGACTGATTCCTACCACCAACTTTGGACCATGACGTCCCCGGAGCAGCGTTTGGACACTCTACGACAGGATATCTGCCGCGTGATTCTAGACCAGCTCGCGCGAATCCTGCGGGATTATTCGTCCGGGAACCTAGTGAAACCGGTGCTTCGATTTGAAGTTTTTTTCCAACATGGCGAGCAGGGAATGCAGCGGCAAACATCCTGCACTCCCATGATTTCGGTATGATGCATATCCATTCTAATCATCGAGGGCTGGAGCCCCCGTTTTCGCGGGTTGTTTGGCAAGCATTCAGCCATCATTTGCTGCCTGTGCAACTACTTTACAACGCAAATAATCACTACGATACGGGATGCGTAATCCAGATAGACAGAGTGGTAGATAAGTCAGCATCGAATGTAACTGCTGGGTCTTCTTCACGGCTCCTCCGTAATTGTGCCACATGGGTGGGGAGGGGGTAGTTGACAAAGTACGAGAGGGTCTTCTGCTAACCATCACTAACGATATACAGAAAATCTTAGACTTATCTGGCATAATTTCACAGAGCGACAACAACAGACCGAATGCGAGCAATGCGAGGAAGGAAAACACCATCGACCAGCTAACACTATCCACCTTTGGCCCGCGATCGGTAATAGACGGCGCTAGCTGGCCTTTTGTCCGAGCGCAAAGGACGCCATCCCAAGGGCTGCCGCAATTATCACCCGAGACTGGAGCCAATGCTTCATTTCAGAGATGGGGGGTCTCAGCGCTGCGACCAGTCAGGAAAACTGCGGCGGTGGAAGAAGAGCTCCCGGAAAGTCAGCGGCACATGCAGTTTACCAATGGTTTCCCTGAACCCGTAAACATTCAGACAAACGTCGTCTTCATCCCGCAGCAGTCCTCCATTGACAAATTCGTCGTCAACGTTTGGGAGCAGATTCACGGCCGCATCAGCTTGGATCCCCAAAATCTGCTTGAACAGTGGCAGCTCCTGGCAACGGCGGCAACGGCGGCAACGGTAAGCATCAATGATGCTGCCAAGATTCACTTTCCTGAGCAGCTGAAATTCGACCAGCTCCAGGTGTCTTCAGCAGAAGGCACGCTGGCTGAGATTGAGATCGAAGGGGTTTTCAATCGCGGCAACAATTTTTGCCGGAAAATCACGCAAGTCAGCCGCGCGTGCCGCTTGATCGAGGTCATTGTCCAAGCGCGGTGGATTGAGCACTTTGACTCGTACGTCGAGCTACTTGCCATCACTAAACCCAGCATGTCCCACGCCAAACGCCGCAAAGCGACGCTCATCAAGACATGTAACGACTTTGGGTGGTCCGAGAAGGAGCTGCGAAACAGGATGGCCATCTGGCGCGGCTACAAGGATATCAAGGACGCGGGAGGCTGGGCAGCGCTCGTCTTTTCCGGCATGGGACTCTACCGCTTCTGCAAATACAGAGTTGGATTTGACCCGGATAGTATGCAGCGACTCCGGTGCCTCCGGCCGCAGATCGAGGTCGCCGCCGATACGCTGCAACCCACATGGCGTCACCTACTCATGATTGTCGGCGAACGTACACAGCGTCGGTTTTTCGGCCACCCACACGACTGGGTGGTCCACAGAGACGGTTCGGATCCGGTTCCGCTCCGGTCAACATATCTCAAGTACAACCCCAACTTCAGCTTCGAGCAGCTTGAACATTCAGTCATGGACATGAGCGCGTGGGGTACCGATGACCCACGGTGGGTGCCGCCAGTGGACGCCATGGCTTGCGTCCAAGGCATCCACACGTGTCACTCGTGCGGCCGGGAGCAGTCCGAAGACCGCGAGGCAAACTCATGCCACTGCTTCCCAACGCTATTTGGATCCGTGCGCCGGAGCCCCTGCCCGGTGCAGGTGTTCCGGACCTCTGACGGACGCAACAATGGTCTGATGGCTCTTTGTCCGTTTGAGCGCGGCGCGGCGATCGGAGAATTCGTGGGTCTCATCACGACAGATGTGCAAAACCTGGATGTCATGGATAGTTCGACGGGCGTTCGGGCCTATCAGATCTGGCAGGGACGGCAGGGCAACTTCACGAGGTTCATTAATCACACTGCCAGCCCAACGCGCAGTTCCGTCAGTTCATTTGGATGAGCACGCAGCGCATTGTCCTAGTGAGTAAGGGCATCGAGGCGGGGCATGAGGTCACAGTGGAGTATTCTGAAGCTACTGGCACGGTTCGGACAAAGGATGTTTCGCTATCGGAAAGTACGAAAGGGGTTTAGGGTAACAGCGTGACTGGTGTCATAGAAGGATCCATTTCCCAGTCAATCCTGACACCATTCACCAGTGTATTCACGTTGCAGGAGCAGAGCACTTCAAGAACGTCCTCATCTGCGTCTGTACAAAGCGTACGGGAATGATACAGCAACCCACGGCAATCTCAAAGTGAAAGGTGACGGGAAGAAGATGCCTTTACAAATATACCACCGTTAGCAGTGACAGGGTCTCAACATTTCGATGTGCCGTCGGTCCAGGGGCCTTCTCCATCGCGATCTATGATCAGGCAGTTTACGTAACCGCGGGAATGGAGGCTGCAAATTTAGCGTACGCAAGCACTCAATGTCCACAGAAGCTTCGAGAAGAAGCTTGTGGGCTTAAAGTGCCAAAATTACTGGGCAAGCTCGTCCACGGCACGCAACGCCGCAGACCAATTAACGAGGTAAGTAAGCTAAAAATAAACCATAGCTATTTTCGGCCTCCCCTGTCCAGGGTGTGGCCCATTGGTCAAGACTTGCACCGTCATCCGGGGGTCAACGGCGACAGTGACGGCCATTTTGGGCCCAACACCCAAAATGCTGACATTGTTGAATTATTGTTCACGTTCTGTCCTAAAAGGATTTAAGCACAGACTGCCAGGCGACAACCACTGCGGCAATTGTAATGCTCCGGAGGCCGAACATGGCATCTCAAAGGAGCGAGACAGGTCTGGTGAGAACTTTACCTAGGCAACGAAGAGTCTATTGGCACGATGCGACCGGATAAGGGAGCGACGTAAAGCCGAGGTATACATTCAAGTTCGTAGGATGCACAAACACTATACATACACTTCATCTAATGAGCCGTCCTGGCCTAGGACGAAGGCGGAGATGGTGAGTACTGCTGTGGAGCAACCGCCTAATATTAACATTTCGAAGGAAAGGATGTACCCCGTCTCCGTGACAAGAACTCCCCAGGACTTTGTTGGTAAGCGAAATCGCGCATCGACCATCCATACACCACAGGGAACCGCAGCAGAAGAAAATGACGCCTCATGTTGCAGTGGGGAGAGATCGTCAAACGTAGATCGTCGTAATGTTCTGGCTCTGAACCATGACGTAGATGCATATTCGTGCGACACGCCAGTCGGGCAAGAGACGATATATCTCTCCAGGAGGGCACTGCACGCGCTGCATGGAAAAACAATCAAAAGTGACAGCTCAAAAAGGGTAGATATGGTAAACTAGCTAGCCAAATGAAAAGCGTCTCCACCATCAATCGCCGCCCCCATTCACGGAAGCCTCCCAGTGATCGTTTCAAAGGCCTGCACATGTGACTGCTGGGTTGAGCGATGTGGATTGCAGTCGCGCTGTTGAATCCCCAGAGAAATGTTCAAGACATCACAGTTGATAACGGGCCCATGCTGTCCCGACAGTAGGGGTCAAACGGCCCTCGTCACGTGTTTCCAGAGCTGGGAGACAAAGACACCAACCCACGCTGAGGCGCCCTTTCTTGACTCCTGCACCCAAAGGAATAGGTATACTGCAGTACCGCCTGTAGGGCTATCTTCTCCGACTACAGCAATACATGCATGCGTAGACGAGCCTCTATCACATTTTATCATGAGAGGCGACTCGGTCGGGCGTAGACTCGTCTGACATGATAGTATTGGGGGGCCAAGGGAGGGTTGAGTAACGGCTTCGGCTTCCCTTTCGCTCCTAGCATCTGGCTACTACAACGGCCGACCTGCTGGTGACGGCCACACAGATCCCGTGGGGAAGAGCCCTCCGGAAGCGTCCACGCCGGCGGACTGCTAGAAGGTCTGGTATCCGACTCCCTTGCCGGTCGCGACGATCCGGTTGCGGGGCCCGGAAACGTCCTAACCAGTCCAGTCACTAGTCGTCCGTTTTAGCACGGCAGTTTTGGTACGGCAGGCACGGCAGTTTTAGCACGGCGGTTCTGGCACGCTAGTTTTGGTACGGCAGGCACGGCGGTTTTGGCACGCCACCTCCGGCACGGCAAAAACCGCATGGGGATCCCTTACCGGTACAGGCGCCGGTCTTGTTGGGTGGCGACATACCTTGTGGGCTGATACTGGCGAAGTGGTCAAATGCGAGCCCCTCGGATAGCAACATCGAGAATACGCGCTGCATCGACCAGCGAGACGCCGGCCTTGATATGCGACTACTTGACCCCTAGCCACCAGGGCTGTGCGCCTCGGAGAGCAGGTCTATCAAGTTCGTAGTGCGGGGCTGTCGGCACGGTAGGTGGATCCAGGCGCGCGCGCTTCGTGGAGCGGTGGGCCGTGACGCAGACGGCGCCCCCAAGATTTGGAAATTCAATACCACATTCCAGTTTATTCATGAACGACAGTTGTAATGGATTATGATTATCACGCGTGGACGACGTTGTATACTGCAAGTCCGCATCGACGCGACCATGGATGCCCCCAAACCTGATTCAACCGCGCGAAGAAAACGGAATAGAACGAATAAGAAATTTGAAAAAGCCAGAGAGAACATCATGTGGCGATGCGATGGGATTGGTCGCCGCTACCAATCGGACGTCTATATTGTGTTGCGCAGAAGATGAAGGCACTGTGAATATAGCTCTACCAATGACCCGGCGTGGCCGATATCCAGAGCTGATATGATTGGTATCCCCCCGCTTCCTTTTCCATCGCTAATGCTCTTCAAGGAAAAACTATATCCCGTGCCCATGAGGAAGACAGCAGCCAGTTTTATCCGTCGCAGAAATCCCCACAACGCATCCCGTAGACTCCCACGCGACGGATAAAAACAGCGAACACTTAGCAGTTCCTCACGGATCTACACTCTTTTCTATATTATTCTCTATATACACATATGCACTTTAGTGAGCTTCGAATTACATAACATTGGTTTCCAAGATACGAATAGTATTAGAGGTGAAAAAGCTAAGACGTAGATACGAAAGTATTTGTGTAAGCCGTAAGTATGATACCCTGATATTGCCCTGGCAAGCGATCCCGAGGCAGGTTGTGCTTTGTGCCACATACATACATACATAGTTTATTACGCCCCGGCTAAGCTATTTAGGGCTCGCATGATTATCTACATATTCTCCACATTCGCTCATATCTTTGCCTCCCGAGAGCCCGTACAAGACTTGTCCGTCCCGGTATGTGCCATTTTCAGTTTTGCATGCCGATGGCTTTGTGCCACAGTTGATTGTTGTAACCTGCTCTTAACAGTAATGCCTCAGGTATCCATGGAGCGATCAGCCAAGACGTGGCTCAGCACCCGCTCAGGCAAGGTTGAGGTGTGGCCGTGTCCAAGCATGGATTCGCGTTGTGCAATGCGCCACCATTCACCTTCAGATCCGAGATCCAGGCCGAACCTGCATTCGAGATGGACCATTGAAATCGCCTCCCAGTGGTTTGATGCCACAGACCGCGTTATCCTCTGAGTTGTGATTGCACTAATTGTACTTACAATATTCCGCCCTCACAACTCCATCGACGGAAGGAGCTGCCAGTGGAATGGTCTCAGCGGGCACCCTGCATCATTGCTAGACCCACCACCTGTAAATCCGTCACGTGCGGTTATGCGGGGCTCCAAGGTATTTTTTGTGTAATGCCAAGTGCTGCGGAGCCACAGCATGCATCTACCTATCCGGAACACCCATCGAAAGAGTCCCAGCATCATGCGACCACACGGGAGGCAGATGCAGCGGTGCAGCGGTCAACCTCCATCCCACGAAGATAAGAATGCGACAGGTTAGACTGCTGATTAGACTGCCGACCACTCAAGCAGGGAGTCCTCGCGAAGAGCGCACCCAGTACGCTACCCGCTGTTAAGTAGCGGAAGAATGCTACGCAGAAGCTGTACAAAAGGCACGACTGCCTGTGCCTAACAGTTGAAGAGCGGGGGATTATCTTGGTTCAGACACGTTATTTGGCTCTCGCACGTGATTTTGTCACGTGACTCCGGCACCTGGTCCTTGTGTGCTGGTCTTAGCTTATTCGCACCGCCTGTTTCGGACGGAAGTGCTTGGGTTTACTGCCATTGAATCAGCGGGCCAAACGGCACGGAGACCTCAAGGTACGACCGATCTGTGACGACTTAGTCATCATTCTCGCATCTACGTGTTCTGTTCGTGGACGTCCCAAGCATGTCCTTAGTGCGTCCGAACTTGTCCACCGTTGTCCGTGGACGTCCAAAGGGCGTCCTCATTACGTCGGAACTTGTCCACCGTTGGCCATGGACGTCCCAAGGGCGTCCTCACTACGTCCGAACTTGTCCACCGTTGGCCATGGATGTCCAAAGGGCGTCCTTAGTGCATCCGAACTTGTCCACCGTTGTCCGTGGACGTCCCAAGGACGTCCCCATTACGTCCGAACTTGTCAACCGTTGGCCGGGGACGTCGCAAGGGCGTCCTCATTGAGTCCGAACTTGTCCACCATTGGCCATGGACGTCCAAAGGGCGTCTTCGGTGCGTCCGAACTTGTCCACCGTCGGCCGTGGACGTCCCAGGAGCGTCCTAGATCTAGGCTTCGATTGTATGCGAAGGCTGAAAACAACTGGCGCCAACAGTCCTATCTCGCTTTTTCACCTGCAAATCTAGAAAGCCAAATGCTGCTGAAATGATTGATTCCAATATCCACGAATAATGGCATGCTACAGTGCGAGTCGTATGTAGCACACCTCAAAACCAGACTTGTACAGCAGACTACGCGGGATACAGTGCATGACGGGACCACGACAGTGCTTTGTTTGATGACATTCGTAGAAAAGTCCAGAAATTGCTCCTACACTGTGTTCGTTATTCGGATCCAAGTTGCATAACCCAGCATCTACAAATGGCAGCGATAAGCGCAGTGCCGGTTAATGACTCTAGACGAAGAGTGATCAATAGGCGGACGTAGAGGTACAAGCTGCGTGTGCCGTCAAGTAGCTATCAAGTGACAGGCAACCAAGACTGCACTTATCACCGCCGATAGTGAATGTTGGGGTATGTGAGGGACATGGCTTTCTAGATACAAGACGTTGCGCGACGAAGAGGAAAGAGAGGTCGCGCTGTGTGGGGGACGGGGGTCATGGCGAAGCCTTGACTCGCGATACCTTTGACACACCCTGGCACCCAATCCCGTGACTGATCATGCAACATGGATCTGAACCATGATCACAGCGTAAAAAGCAGTTTCTGGCTTGAGCTGTGGCTGTCACCACGGAGGGCGTCGCCCGGGGTTTGTAATGGAGACCAATTTCGAATTCCTATGTAGTCGCGTTACCTTCCGCGGCACCGCGAACCGCTTACAGTAGAGTTCGACGAGGTGTCAGTCACCCGCCGAAGCCAGCGTCGTTCGCAGTGGGGTGCGCTTCACTGCGACTTGCACAAATCAGTCTTCACGCTTCGCCACATCATCTCACCATTCGCGCAGTCTAATTGACAACGTATGCTGAAATTTGGACTTGCACATTTCATTCTCGAGACGTAGGCATGTAGGCTAATCATCGCCACCTTTGTGATAGCGCCAATTCCTCCAGGTGTCTTGGCCACGCACAATGAATGGCTCTACCACCAGACGTCCCCTCGCCAATCTCCGCCCTTCAGTTGGTGTCTAACCCCAGGGCAAGTCAGTCGCGCTCGTCGTCATCACTCAGCAAAACGCTCTGCAGGAATTCAATAGCCTTCCTGTCGCCATCCTCCATTGAACGTACGGCCGTGGCCAACCCGCTAGTCTCGGCTTGCCTTGCGTGAACTTCGGCCTGCTTTGCGCGTCGCTTCAGATTGAGTCTTCCCTGTGTTTCCTCAGAGAGCAAGAGCCACGCGCATGCCGCCAAGACCTTCGGCTGAATCTCGGGCGATAGAGCTTGGAACTGCTCATGATCGGTGAACAGGATAGACCGAATTGCCTAGTGCTGCTTATGTTAGCGATGCAGGCAAGAGGAGGGACAATGCCTACTCCAGGGTGGCTCGAGCCAGATGGTGGAGGTGACTGGGGCGCGGCTGCGGACCCACTCAACAACGAAGGGCGCTCGGGTTCACCCAGCCGGGCAGCGAGCGGTTTGGCGTTGACATCGTGAGAGGTAAGCTGTGTCAAAGGTGCGTTTAGCAAGCGGATTGCCAAAGCGACAGTCACATTTGGTGCGAGGGATTACCGATACATCTATGACAACGGTCACTGCTTAGGTAACGACTTTCACTATTAACAAGTATACTCCTGCAATAGTAGAACAAACGATCACAGTGTGTGTTCACAGCTCGCGTACAGTACGACCGCCGATGTGTAACTTCCCAAAGTGATGTACCGTTGTCTGCAGAGTTGCGCGAATCCCAGCGCTGAGACCACCTCGCCTTCTCTGCTGATGCCGAGGCCGTGAACGGAGCGTCTGGGGAGTTGGCATTCGTTCGCTCGAATTGCCCGGTTCCTCGTCCTGCTTAGCGGCCGCCAGAACAGGGTCGATATAACTGCGGGAGTGGATGACACTAAAACTCTAGGGGCAGGCTAGCTTCGGGAAGCAAAGTGACCTCACATCGGACTGAGACGGCAACTGACCCATGGACGATCAAATCCTTGTGAAGTGACAGAAAATTCCGACGAGTCGATGATCGCGCGAGACGAGGAATGAGGGTTTCTCGCATTCGACAGCCGAAATAGTTCGACAGTGATGAACGGGGAGAGTGTCCATCCTTGATTGACGCTCTCAATCAGGCACTCCAGGTCGCTTCCGCCGTAAGTGGAGAGGTTCTCGGCCAAAGGCACAGTGATGTCCCGCAGGACCCTCTGCAAATGCACGTTTGCTCGGGCGCGGTTCCGCGTACGCACATCAGCTTGGGCACTGTCCTGCGTACGCATGTCTGCTTGGGCGGTATTCTGCTTACGCACATCTGCGTGAGCACGATTCTGCATGGTAGCAATTGCGTGGACACGATTCTGCGTAGGCGTGATTCTGCCTAGGCACCATTCTGCAGAGGCACGTCAGCGTGGGCACTGTCCTGCGTACGCTTGTCTGCTTGTGCACCATTCTGCTTACTCACGTCTGCGTATGCGCAATTTTGCGGTAGCGCGACATCCCAGTACGAGAGCCAATGTTGGCTTTTCACCGATAGAA